TGTCCCAGTGGTAATGGGGAATAAATATGACAACATGTAGAGGAAGAAGTATTTAACTCTACCTGCAAATATCAAGAAGGACTTTCCTGAGAAGGTAATAACTGAGCAGAGTCTGAAGGAATAAGTAGACATTCTTCAGGCAGACAGGGGAAAAAGGTCATGCCCGATAAATAGAATTGCTGGGGAAGACAGAGAGACCAAAGAAGGAGCATGCTAGACTTTTTAACATGAAAGTCTATTTTGGAAATGGGTATTTGGAGTTAAGGCGGAAGGACTGGTGGGAGATAAGGCAGGGGCTGATGACGTCACGAAGGGCCTATGCACCATGCTAAGGAATATGCACTCTGTGCTGTAGACCAGGGCTGCAAATGTGGCCTTCAGGCTGAATCTGGCTGACAGGCACTTGTTTCGTTTAGCCAGTAAAGTGTTTTGCTTGTTTTATTTTTCCTCACCAAATAGCTCTAGTGGCTGAGGCTGTTAGTTGTTCTAGCCAAAACGATTCCAGCTAGTAAGTGTAGAATGAATGGAATTGGAGAATCACCGTTTTGAAGCACGGCATTAAGTCAGACGGTGGGGGGAACTTTACGAGGAAGTTATTGCCTCTCAGTGTCCGCACAGGAAAACTCCTGGTCGTTCAACTAGAGGAAACAGGGAATTTCATCCAAACAATTGGTCAAAACAAGTTTCAGAGGACTGAGAGTGCAGAAGGGAGACGAAAGAGCACAGAGCAGCGTGCAGGAGAAGGCGTTAAACCCGGGGATCGGAGGCTCTGGAGGTCGGCCTCCTCAGCAGCTGGAACCTCCGCCGCCGCGGGAGCTGAAAGAGGAGGAGCGTCCTCGGCTTCTACTGCCTTACAGTCCCTTGTCACTTACTGCTTCCCGCAGGCAGAGGCCAACCGGTACCCCGCTAGCAAGGGCGCCCCGCAGGTCAGGACGCACTGCGGAGCAGAGGGGTGCGACGTGCAGTGTGAGCTGAGAATAGCCAGGGTTCAGGGACCCCACCCTCACCTCCAGCAGCTCGGGGTCGCTGAAAGTCTGGCGACGAAAATGATGCCAAGAAAGAACAATTGAAAGTTATTCTCCCGACTTAAGCAAAACAACAAAACAAAACAAAAAAAACCCTGAATGCAATCAAACCTTAGGAGCTGAATTCCAGTTTACGGGATACACAGCAATTAAAGGAAGCCATCTGGGGCAAAACAATCAAGATATGGGACCTTCTGTAGGAAACTGATCCAGATTCTTTAAAAAGTGGAATGGGGATGGGGGAAGAAAGAAAAATGAAGGTTACCGGTCTAGATAATAAATTTTAAAAAGAAATAGGGATAATCAATTACAATGAGCGACCTTGTTTGGGTACTTGTTTGAGCACCTACTCCCCAAAAATAGGCACTGTTTAGACGGCTGAGGACTTTCGAAAATTGACTAAGTATTACGTGATGTTAAATAATCATTTATAGTTTTGCAAAGTGTGAATATTGGCATTGTAGTTATCTAAATAAATGTCCTTTTTAATATTCACACTGAAGAAAGTAAGGGCGAAATGATATTCAGCACTTGTTTTAAAATAAGCAAAAAAGGGGCAGCTGCATAGATGAAACAAACGTGGCAGAAAATTAATGCTTATTGAAGGAAACTGATATGGGGTTCATTATATTTCTATTTTTGTGGATGTTTGGTAGTTTTTATAATACATATTTAAAGAATTGAATGTAGACTATTCTCAGTAAGTTCAACTGATAGGAAGAAAAATCAAAGCACACTGTCTTGAGGGAGACAAATACTGTTTGGGAGGTTTTGAGGTGGAAGCACCTGGAGTTTTTACTTGTGCTGTAGTAGAGAGAGGAGGGGCTGATGAAGCAAGGCAAGAGGGAACTGGAGACTCAGGCAGAGGGAGCTTTAGACAGGACTGAGACCAAAGAGCAGATGAGAGCAGGTGAAAGAGTAGAAAAATTAATTTGTTGGGGAAAAGACAGTGTAATCACCTTAAAATTCCTTTTTTAAAGATTTCTCTTTTCCCTGAGAAGGAGGTAAGTCCCTGTGTTGAGAAGGAAGAATTTGTTGACAGTGAAGGAACTTACGGTAGTGAAGGCTTGAAATAGGTGATTTATGTGAAGGGAGAGGGATTAAATAAAGACTAAATAAAACATCATACACATCTAGTATTTCCCCTGAAAGACTCCCCAGGAAAAAAGTTACCTTATACTTGAACCCTTAAAAATCTTCTCCTAGTCAAGGATGCCTTCTCAGTTATTTTGCTTTATTCTGAATAATAAACTACTATTTAGAGAAGACACATTATCCTGAAGTGGCCTCAATCTATGCTAGTTTGGTATTCTTATAGGAGACTCCTGACATAATCAATTAAAAAGAAGCAAAGGTGTAAAACGATTCCTGGGTATATGACTACATCATTGTAAGCCTTTTGAAGATCACTTAAAAAAATTAGAGTATGTGGTTACTTGTAAAGGTCTCCAATGAAAACGTTACCTAATGTATGAGAATACTTCTGATTTGCTACAAAATTTTCAGAGACAATGTCACTGGTTTTAGAAATTGCTGCATTGTAATTAGAATTGAAAATCAAGGATACTGGAAAACTATGTCAGGTGATTCAAAAAGTGATTCTAGTGGTGATAATTATATTGATAATACCAATGCAGAATAAACAGTTGGAATAAAATTATTTTTGTGAAAGTAGAATAAAGCAATAATTTAAAATTAACACATTAGTGAATATTCAATTTAAAACATTATCTAAGATAATATAGACATATAACTTTTAAATTTACGTGTCTCAACTTTTGCCTATTTAATTTAGCTAAAAACCCTTTTCCTAGATCTTCTCATTAGGATAATGAGAGATTGTTCTATGTTTGGATTAGTCTTAAATTGAAAATATAATTTTTAAAGGACCCATCTATGTTTGTATATAACCTTATATGAAACTGTATATAACTATGTACTTTACATAAACCTATAGAGTTGTAAGATTTCTACTCTTGTATGACTATAAGGTAAAATCATTCATTTTCAATGGTAACAACCTAGAGTTATATTATTTTCTCCAGTCATTGGAAACTAGCAATTCCCATATAATTAAGTCAAGGGCTTTTGATGCTGTATATAAATAACCTAACAAGCTATAAAAGTTTTAGAGTCCTAGAAAGGTGTCAACACACAAAATTTCCAGTATCTTGCTTAAAACAAATGAATAAAACCAAGACTGGAATCTTTCTCTCCATCGTGACTGGGAAATTATATCATCAAAGTAGAAATTGTTGTATCTTTTGGTGCTTTTTGGACTTTGGATGGAATTTTCTAGAGATCAAAATTCGTGTATTTCTGTAATCTAAACTTTTTGATGATTGTGTATGCTGCAACTTGATGTTATTTCCCTTTACCACTACTAAATTGCTGCACGAGATCTTGTAGTTTAAAGTTACACAAATTCATTTGAAAATTTAGATATCATGTTACTTTTACCACAAAACAACCAACCAAACTCTCCATTCTTTTTTTCCATACCAGTATTTTCTATTCCCCAAGGAACATATTAGAATTCATTTTTTAAAAACCTTTTCATTTGATATATCATAAAATCAGAGGGCAGCCGGTAAGACTTTGATCCCTTTCACTCCTCCACTTACACTCCCACCAAAATAAATGACCGGAAACTTTTCCACTAATGTATAGAGCCTGGAAGAATTCCAGCATGTATTTTGAACAGTTCTTTCCCCTCAAAGTTTATACGTTGCTATTCCAGTTTTACAGATGAGGAAATTAAAGATAGAAAAAATAAATTACTTGCTCGAAGTTAGGAAGTAAAAGAAGCAAAATTGGCACAGAGACTTTTCTAGGTCTAATACCCGTATATTATCTCTAGCACAGTATGCTACTTACCAACCCCATTTTCATGGTACATACCCATTATAAAACATGAGCTTTCTTCCATTTGTGTTTGTGTGTCTTTATACATGCTCAGGCAATCCTTGATTTGCAAGATAGCGTGGGGCCATAAAAATGATTGTGCAGGTTTAAACCATGCAAGCCAATATTAACAATGGGGAAAAAATCACAATTGTTCCATGACATTTAAACATGTGTTAAAACATTACTCTCTGTCAACTATAAATACATAGAAAACTTTAAAATATTGTTAAGCTAATTTATTACACTGTAATTTAAAACATTAAAATTATTGAGTATTAAAGTATTTGATTTCTTTTAAAAATTTTATCAAGAGTCATTTAAATTGTCCTTGCCTTTTTCTTTTCATAGAACTTAAAACACTGAGCAAATGTCTTTTCTATGCTTCAGCAAATTGTTATATTCCTTTCTAAGTTTGGATCAGTTACAGCATTTTATCATTTGCGTTTTCAGTGTCATGAAATATCTCTGAGAGTTCCTTTAATGTGAAGTTTTTCAGCAGCATCATTTCCTATGTGACATAATTTCACCACAACCATTTTTCTTATTTGTCATTTAAGTTCACCTTCACTAAGTTCCCTTTGTTGCATCTCTAGAGTCTCTCAGACAGAGGAGGTGTCAACGTTCCCGTGATCAGCTCTTTTATAGCACATCCAAATTCACTTCCAGCATTCACTTTCTGCACTTTCATCTGTCAGCCACTTCCCTCTTTGGATTACCTACTTTTGTTAAATATCATGTAGGCCTATCACTGGAAGGCAAGGCAAGGCAACCACATGTTTTGCTGTCAACAAGTGAACTAAATAGCAGACGTACAGAGACCAGTCACCAAAAGACTTTGAAAGAAGTGATCCAATTAGTCACTAATGATGATGTGCATCTGCTATTCATATAGTGATTTGTGCACTAAAGAGCTAGCAGTGAAGTTTGTACTTTACACAATTATTCACAATATATCATGACTACAGTGTTGTTGCGGGAGACTGGTGTCATTTAACTAAAACACAGTAACTAAAATTTATGCATTCAGAATTGTGCAAAGCAAGGACTGCCTATTTTGCACATAATGGAGATTACGCATATAAAACTGTAACCTTTTAAATTTTTTACATAGTACAAAATAAACATTTCCTTGAACTTTTAACATGTTAATGAATAATGTAATGCCTAAATTCCAATCTCATTTAAAATCACATTATCTCTAAAGGAAGACCCTTTAAAATTTTCTAGTTGGTTTCCCATCCTTTACCTTGATGGTACAAGATTTATATTGGAATTTTTGTGAATCATATTTTATGTAGTTTAGTGATGTCCTTGTTGGTTTCTCAACATTAATGTTTAAAAACAAAGATGCTAAAGAGTATACATAGTCCTCCAATGAGTTGTGGACGAGAGTCTGACTGAATCCTTGCTTGCTGTGATAATCTAGTCTCAGGAGCCACGTTGCTATTCAGTGGGACTCTTACTCAATTCAAAATTATGCATTTAAAAATGATCCAGTGTTCTTGCTGTCTTGCAGTGACTGTGTTATCACAACCCATGAGCTTCGTTGTTTCAAATGTCACAGTACACATCTGACTGGAAACTTTAAAAAGTCAAAGTACCTGTAATTTTTATAAGAAGAAACTGATTTTATGTTGTGTATTTTAATATGTCTGTTATTAATTTATAGAAAACATCCTTTGGCTAGTTTTATGATACTGGTATCATGTATCAACATGTGATATAATTCAAATCAAATACTATGTAAACATGCATAAGAAAATTATTTTTAAGTATATTATTCTGGAAAATTAAATATTCAATTATAAGTCTGCATTTACTTCTATTTATAGATTCAAAAGGCAAGTGAGGTCTGGATCCTTAGAGGTCATTTCAATACCTGCCTTTTTATACTCAAGTATGTTAAATGCCAAGCACTTAGCTGAGGCCTCACAAAAATTAGCCAGGTATGTCATATTAGAAAATAGTAGCCTTAAATAACTAATTTCATCTGATAAAATCTTGGAATCAGCTCATACTAGAAACTATTTAAGACAAGTGGTGATCTGGAGCTGGCTCCTACTGGCTTTCAAGACCCAATTATGTGCATCACTTCCCAACTCTGTGTTCAATAACATCAAGTTGATAGCATGAACCACAGTAGGAGTATTTACACCATGGAAATGGGCAAAGGCTACAAAGCAAGATGTCCATCCCTCCACCCCCAAGTCAGTTGTTAAATATTTACCAGCACACCACTGATGGTCTGTGTTCACGTTTATAGACGATAATTAGTAAGGCATAATGAGGAGGGGGGGAGCCTGTGATTATAAATCATTACAGCTGGATTCTAGTCCCAGCTGTTCTGTTTGCTGGTCATTACAGGCAGCTGTTTGCTGGTCATTATAGGCAGGTAGTTTCACCTTTTTTTCCCGTAGCTTTTCTAACTTTCTAGTGTTATATAATGACACCTACATTGCATTATTGCAAGAGTCATTATGAGAATAAAATATATTTATGAAAGAATCTTAAAAAATTAAAAGCTCCATACACATACAAAGGATTATAATTTGGGGTATTAGTGTGGTAGGTATTATGGGAAATGTAATAATTTGGTCCCTCAAAACTTAATAAAGAAAAAGACATGCCAGAAATTAGAAAAAGGCCTTATCCCAGGAAACCGATTAGTCTTCTTTTGTTTTAAAATTATAAATAGTGTGTCAGAATCTAGTAATCTTTTAAGTGTTTTGTTTTGCTTTTAATTAGTGGTCCACATTATGCCCAGTTTTTAAAGTCACAAAGCTGGAAGTCATCCTGGATCCTTGTTTTTCCTTCAGCCTTTTATATCTCTGTCATTGTTTCTTTTTTAAAATCTCTCTACACATTATCCCTCTCATCCTCCTTCCATTGGCTTGGATTTGGTTCAGGCCTTCACCATTACAGAGTCCCTAATCTTAGCCTAACCTAGCCTCTCTTACAATCCATTCTTCACGCTATACCCAGAAGAATATTTTCTCATATGAGATCAAGTCCAAAGTTTCCCACATATCATAAAATGTCATTCATGATCTGGTCTCTGCCAACCTTGCAATCATCAACTTTTTTCTGTCAGCTCTCTGTGCTCTAAAATTAAGTGGCATGCTCTTCTACCCTTTCCACATCTTTGAAAACTTACTGTAAGATGGCCAACATTGTTGATATCTTCATATAGCACTTATCCAATTGTTGTAATTTTATTATTTTTATTATTATTATTACTATTTTCATAGGAGGTTATGAGACTCAGAAGGGCAAGAATGACTTTGGGTACTGCTCTTTGTATATTCAGGACCTGGCCTGGTATCTAGCTTTGTATGAGAATAAAGTTTCTTTGGGTGAATTTATATCCAGGCAGCCCTATGAGCAGGGATGAGCTCTTGCCCCAGGCTACAAGCCTTCCCACTAAGAAAGCAAGCAGGGCTCTCATGCCTCACCCCTCCCTGCCTGCCCACACCTTCGGCAGCGGCTTCTGTGCTCATATCTGCACTCCCCATTCACCCTGCCTCCAGATTATGCTCAAAAAAATTTGTGCTCAGTCAAAATTATTACAAAGTTCAGCTGGGAATTTCCTTCACCCTGTGGCCCATCCCCAATTCCACTGGCTGCCTTCCCTTCCCCAAGGAACTCTGTGAGATAAGGCCAGGAATGACGTCCCTGGTCTGGAGCTGGGGACCAGGAGTGCCTACAGGGCTCTTCCCACTGCTTCTACTTTTATATTTCTCTTGGCTCCCTAAATCCATTTCAGCTCTACTAGAGTAAGGTTAAATCCTTCTCCTGTGATCTGGATTTTCAGGTTCCCCAGTGGGGATGTGTGTATGGAGGCCAACATTTCCCCCCTTACACTTTGGGAACTTGCAGTTTTTCTGCCATCTCACGGAGTTTGCAGTGTCAAGTCAGTTCTTTCAAAGAGTTTGTGAATTCTTTAGGTTTTCCTGGTATGTTCCTGCAGTGTTTCTCGGAGCAAACGTTCACAATGTGCGTCTCCAGGCACTGTTCTCTCTGGCCAAGCAGGAGATGCACATTAGTCCTGTCTCCTATCTGCCATTTTTTTCTATAATTCTCTAATTCTTTTCAGTTATCATTCAAAATATTTGACTCCCTAGAGTTCAAATTGCCCCAAATCTGGCTACAATCAATCAGTTGGAGGGTAGTAATTCATATAATTACTCCATTTCCCTAGGATTGGGAGAGTTGGGGCAATGTGTGGCCAAATATAAAGTCAACTTGTGAAGGGAGTTACATTGGGTTTCTTCAAGAGGCCATGAAGAGTTCCAGAGGCTTGTGGAGACTACTTTCAAAACAAAAACAAAAAAAGCAACCTTTCCCTTCCAAGTAAACCGAGGGATAAGACTTAGGGGAAATGGTTTAAAGACCCATAAAAAGAAATATTAATACTCTGTAGTAGATAGTTAACCCTAAGAATTGGGGAGAAAACTCTTGGATGATAGAATCAATAAAGAAAGCTATTAGGAGAGACATTGAAAAAAAGAGTAAAGTTTCTTTATACTTTCATTTAAACAAGACCTAAAATCAGAAAGAATATTAACACTATTATCTAGATCAAAACTTACCTAGATAAAAATGTAAAACAAATGGGTTGTGCTTATCCTCATTTAGCAATGATAGACACTGTTCGTTGAATAAAGATGGAAAACTTTTTAGTATAAGTATATTCAATTTTACTTAATTGAAATTAATTAAGTAAAATTAATTACTTAATTATAGCTAGTACTCTGTTAGTAAATTGCCAAAGAGTTTTTAATTACTATTCTTATAAATAAAAATTAAATAATAATGACAAATATTAACAGATCTTATTGATTACCTTTAGTTGGCGAATCAAGCAAGTATTGGATTTTTGCATTTTGATGTTGTATGCCCAACCCAAGGCCAAGTATTATTTACAGGTAAGAAATTGGGGTGTGTGTGTGTGTGTGTATATATATGTGTGTGTGTGTATATATATACCATGAACCTAGTAAGAATATTCATATATAATCAATTTTATATATATATACACACACACATATATATGTACACACCAACTATATCTGTAGATAGATATAATTTAAATTGAAAGTGTTACTTTCTCCCTCCTTCCTGTAATTTCTTCTTCCTCATTGTGTTCCTCCACCATACTTTATGCTCAGAAAATAGAAAATACTCACTGTAATAAAAAGGCAAAGGAAGTTTAAAATCGATTATATATGAATATTCTTACTAGGTTCACGGTTATAGAGAAAATTATAGTTACCTGAAGCAAACTGAAAAGAAAATCTCAAAAAAAAAAAAAGAAATTGTAGCGCCTATATTTATTTCTTGGCTTACAATTTTACTAGATTAAGCAAATGCATTTTGAGCATTTGTCAGACATTGTATATACACGTATCATTGCTACCCTAAATTTACTCATACTTTATGAGTAACACAGTTTTCAGTGTCTTACTGTATTTGTAAAAGTGAATCAATTATATATAGTTTGTACCTTCTAAATCCTTGTACATGGTTAAATAATAATGTTGTGTTTCTAAATAGTAAGTATGGACCTCACTACATAGACAATGTGCACTTATTGGAAGAATTTGCAGAAGAGAGTTCTAGACTAGAGAGAAAGTTAGAGAAAGGCCTAAAGCAAGGTCTTTTCTTTTATTGGAATTAAAAAAAAAAAGGTCCCTTTTGATTCCTAGTTAGTGGCAATGTCATGAAAACACAAGATCCGGCCAATGTACTCTTCCCAATTTGAAACACCACAGTTCTATTCTGTGTCCTCATAGTGTGCCTGAGGACGGCCACATTTTTCTTTTTTACTTATGAGGCTCTCTTCGTCTACAGATTATGCATAATATATATTAAATAAAAAAGAAAGCCCATTTCCATTGCCCTCTCTTTCTTATGGAGGATATTTTTAGGCTTACCCCATGACTCTAACCAGCTAGTTGTGGAGTTGTGGGTGAGACAGCAGGTTGCTTTTTGTCTTCTCTTTGCTGGGAACTACTTTGTCAGTCACAATATCTGGAGCTAGAACGTGGCACCTTTCATCAGGAGCATGAAGCTCCTTCGTCTTAGCTATGGGCTCAATGTTCGCATCTCTCCCAAAGCCTCCCAACGTTTCATTTTTGTTTTGTTTTGTTCTTGAGACAATGTCTTGCTCTGTCGCCCAGGTCGGAGTGAAGTGGCACAATCATGGCTCACTGAAGCCTTAAGTAGCTGGGACTACAGGTGCACATCACCACAGTCGACTAATTTTTTGTAGTTTTTACATAGGCAGGGTTTAGACATGTTGCCCAGGCTGGTCTCGAACTCCTGGGCTCAAGCAATCTGCCTGCCTCAGCCTCCCAAAGTGCCGGGACTATAGGCGTGAGCCACAGCTCCTGGCCTCCCTCCCAAAATTAATATGTTAAAATTCTTACCCCCAAGGTGATAGTATTTGGAAGTGGAGCCTGTGGGAGGCAATTAGATTATGCAGGCAGAGCCTCATAAATGGGATTAGTGCCCTTGTAAAAGAGACCTCAGAGAGCTAGCTGGCCCCTTTTACTGTGTGGGGATACAGTGGAAGCCATCATGTATGAGGAATGGGCCCTCAGCAGACATAAGCCTGCTAGCACCTTGTTCTTGGCCTTCCCAGGCTCCAGGACTGTTTGTTGTTTATAAACTACCCATCGTATGGTATCTTGTTATAACAGCTCAAATGGACTAAGACAGTTCTAAACTAGAAACTGAATTATTTGTGAGGATGAAAGTGGATTTAGATAAAGAGACTCTTTCAAAGAGGGATTTAGATGGAATGTTTAGTATTTAGGAAAGAAACAGATAATTTCTTGTCTGGTTAATCTCAGAATCAAACATGGAGCAGGGTACGGTGTCTCATACCTGTAATCTCGGCACTTTAGGAGGCCAAGGCAGGAGGCTCACTTGAGCCCAGGAGTTGGGAGGCCAAGGCAGGAGGATTACTTGAGCCCAGGAATTCGAAACCAGCTTGGGCAACATGGTAAATCCCTATCTCTACAAATAATATAAAAATTAGGCAGGTGGCACGTGCCTGCAGTCTTGCCAGTGCACTCCAGCCTGGGTAATGGAGTGAGACCCTGTCAAAAAAAAAAAAAAAAGGAGATCAACTAACTGTAAATACCTTCAATTAATTGAAACTGAAATAAAATTATTATTTTATAAAAAACATTTTCTTCAGTATATTCTATTGTATTTTTTATTTTCAAGTTAATGTAGCTTACTCAATGAAAGCGTCGAAGGTACTAATGTCTTTTGGGGTTTTTTTTTTCAGCTAGAAGATGATATCATAGCTAAAGAGATGTACTTTACAAAAATAACAGATTTTGTAGGTAACATCAGTTCAAATAATTGGTTTTTTATTGAGTTTTCAATGCTTGGATTCATAGGTAAGCAATAGATCTACTTTGTTGGATCAAGTTTTTTAGCACACAATAATTTAAAACATTTAAAAGAGTTTATCAGTTTGTTTATTACTAAAGGAAAAAGAATGGCATGATTTTTATAAAGACATGAATATCTTAACAGTATAATCAGATACAAGTACCTGAATTCCAGATGTGTTTTCTTAAACCAAACTTTTTTCTAGAGAGATAAAATTGACATTTAGACACTTACGTTATAGAAGCATAAAAGAGTTACCATTTATTAAGTGCTTGCTGTGAGTCTGGCACACATGTTAGTTCAGTGGCTAAGATGCACTTTTCTCTGCTTTATAAGAATACTGAAACTCAGATAATTAAAATTTTAGAGAAAGGGATTTTAACTCAGTTGCTGCAATTTCCAGTATGCTAAAGCTGGCAGTCTTAAAAAATGTAAAAACATAAGAGGAATTATACCCACCGCAGAAAATTTCCAAATACTGTGCCCATAAAGAGATTTTTTTTTTTTTTTTACTATTCTTCCATAGATTTTCCTTTCAAATTCTTCAATTTTTCTTTCTTCACTTCCATGCTTTTTTCTTTCCTTTGAACCTCAAGGCCCCAAGTTAAGTTACCATACTCCTTATTTTATGGTACATGACATTATTGATTCATGCAGGAACTCTTCCTTATTTATTCTTTTCTTTCATTCCCAATCCCTACACCCACTTCCTGCCATTCTTCAATATATTGTTCACTCTAATATGTTCAAAATACACTTATAAATATACAATATCCATGTAAATTATTTGATGCTTTTCATATTTGTATATTCCTATTCCTTACATTTTTGTCCTCAAAACTTGATTTCTAAACTATCAGCATTTTTTTATGTTCATTTAGTTTATTGGTTTTTTACTGTTGCGTAAGTGCTGCATAATGATGGCCACTGAAATTTCTGCATTCAGAATTGTGCAGTGAGGACTACCAGTTTTGCACATAGAGGTCATGCATGTAAAACTGTAACCTGCTTTTAATTTCTTTACATCAACAATCCCACGATCAGCTGTCTTATAGTCACATCCAAATTCACTTCCAGCGTTCACTTTCTGTGCTTTCATCTGTCATCCAGTCAGTCCCTTCTTTTGATGACCTACTTTTGTTAAATGTCATGTGGATTTATCACTGGAAGGCAAGGCAAGACAACTACACATTTTGCTGTCTACAAGTGGACTAAATACTGGATGCACAGTGACCACTCACCAAAGAACTTTGAAAGAAGTGACTTATCACTCACATTTGGTTTATCTATTTCCTGAGTGGCAGACCTTAATTGCTTCCAATGTTCTGCTACCATGAAAAAATGAAGTGACGTATATGTCCCCTGGAGTGGACCGCTGAGGATTCACATAGCTCTAAGTACTGCCGATTACTTTACAGATTGGTTATATGGTTTATGCTTTCTTTTTTTTTTTTTTTTTTGAGACGGAGTCTCGCTCTGTCGCCCAGGCTGGAGTGCAGTGGCGCGATCTTGGCTCACTGCAAGCTCCGCCTCCCGGGTTCAGGCCATTCTCCTGCCTCAGCCTCCTGAGTAGCTGGGACTACAGGCGCCCACCACCGTGCCCGGCTAATTTTTTTTCTTTTTTTTGTATTTTTAGTAGAGACGGGGTTTCACCGTGGTCTCAATCTCCTGACCTTGTGATCCGCCCACCTCGGCCTCCCAAAGTGCTGGGATTACAGGCGTGAGCCACCGCGCCCGGCGGTTTATGCTTTCATAAGCAGTGCATAAAAGTTCGTGCTTCCCCATATGCTTGACAACACTTGGTTTTATCTATTATTATATGCATATATTTGCCATTCTCAGTATAAAGCATTTCTGGGATTGCTGGTAAGGTCCATCTGTTTTTCATATACTCACTCGATGGCTTTTGTGTTTCATGTTTTCTGTAAAATTTTAAGGGCCCAAAGGTTTTTCCTCAGCCTTTTTTAAAATAAGAAGGAAAATTTTTGTTAACAATAATACCCAATGAAAAGCATGGAGACAAAATAATCTTGCTGATGGATTAGTCTGAGAACTTAAAATTCTCAAAAAAATTTACTTTCTCAGCGAAGTCAAGTAGGAGACACATAGAGAATACTTACATTCTGATCACAAGAGCACATTGAACAAGGTGCCCTATTTACAGGATGCCAAATCTTATTCAAGCTTAAACTTACAAAAGTTTTGCTTTTAGTTATCATAATTCGGTTATTCATTATTTGCTAAAAATATGAGCTTGCCAACTACAATTTTACAGCATGGTGACAGCAGGTTAGGAATTGAATCAGCTATTTTATACATCATTAAATCACTTGCTTTGGTCACTATACAAATGGGTGCAAAACATTAAAATACAATTATACATTTTAGTAAGTGACCCGTATAAACTCAAGTCCTAGTGAAGAATGAAGCATGCTTACATCCTACTTTCATATTTATCAAATCATTAGATGTATTTTACATTATTTACTTTGAAGTGAATATGTACCTGAATCTTATCCCTTCAACTTCATTTTAAAATTAAAGATGCAGCATATTAGAAAAAAATTATTAGACCTAATGGAATAATATTTTTAAATATAGTAAATCTTTAAGAATAACAAATATATGCCAGGCGCAGTGGCTCCAGCCTGTAATCCCAGCACTTTGGGAGGCCGAGACGGGCAGATCACGAGGTCAGGAGATCGAGACCATCCTGGTTAACATGGTGAAACCCCGTCTCTACTAAAAAAAAATACAAAAAACTAGCCGGGCGAGGTGGCGGGCGCCTGTAGTCCCAGCTACTCGGGAGGCTGAGGCAGGAGAATGGCGTAAACTCGGGAGGCGGAGCTTGCAGTGAGCTGAGATCCGGCCACTACACCCCAGCCTGGGCGACAGAGCGAGACTCCGTCTCAAAAAAATATATATATATAAAAAAAAATATATATATATATAAAGAAAAAAGCATCCTGTTAAAATAATTCTCAAATATTGAAATAAGAGAGTACTTTAATAAAATTAAGTAGTAAAAATGAAAAATGTGGTAGATTAATAAAGTGCTACAAAAATCAGGTAAAAAATACAGTTTGTACGAAATTAAGTAAAAGATTACAGCGCCTATATGTTTCATTCTATTCACTTATCTTTCACTTGATTTAGGCAATCGATCCGCATTAGTTATCACAATTGATTTCCTGAGAGTATTGACTATTCTAAACCTGCTTATATTCTCCTTCAGATGTGGTGATTCTTGATACTTAAGCAGATATAGTGTTCAATTTTATCATTGTCCAACTTCAGTAGTGCTTTAATCTTTAGTGCTAAGGAATGGGACATATTTAAATTTTAATAACTTTTGCTTTTTTCCCATGTTAAAGGAATGAACAACTATATATGAATTATTTGCATCTAATTATATTTTTTCCCATAGGAAAGCTGTTTAGATCTGAGGACTTAACTCACTTTGTACGGTTTTTTTTAATGTTCTACAAAGAGAAACCCATAGACTGGCTCCTGAATGACATTTTTCAGGTAAAGGTGTGTGACACAGGAGAAGATCTTGTGAGTATTCATTTACTTTACGAATAAAAAATATTTTAGGAAAAATATTATCTAATGTAATTACCTAAAATTTGTTTACCAAACCAAATCTGATAAATACATCAATTTTTTAAATTTCTTTTTTTTTTTTTTTTTTTTTTTGAGACGGAGTCTGGCTCTGTTGCCCAGGCTGGAGTGCAGTGGCCGGATCTCAGCTCACTGCAAGCCCCGCCTCCTGGGTTCACGCCATTCTCCTGCCTCAGCCTCCCGAGTAGCTGGGACTACAGGCGCCCGCCACCTCGCCCGGCTAATTTTTTTTGTATTTTAGTAGAGACGGGGTTTCACCGTGTTAGCCAGGATGGTCTCGATCTCCTGAACTCGTGATTCGCCCGTCTCGGCCTCCCAAAGTGCTGGGATTACAGGCTTGAGCCACCGCGCCCGGCCAATTTTTTAAATTTCTAATATCCCCAATTTTGATCTTTCTACCTGTTAAATGAAGTAATGAGAGACCCCTAAAATGTAGTGAAAAGTTGAAACAGAGGATCAAAAACAGAGTGAACAAACAGAAAAAAATGGTAGACATAAATTCAAACATGCCAATACTTACATTAATATAAATGATTAAAGTACACTATTAAGAGTTTGTCAGAGTCAATTTTTTAAATGATGCCACTACTAAAGTCAATATTCAGTTCAAATATTATAGATAGGTTAAAACTGTGGATGAAAAACATATACACCATACAAACACAAATCAAAGGAGATTTGCAGTAGTAGCTATTTAGTTATTTATTGAGACTCATTCTGTAGCCCAGGCTGGATTGCAGTGGCACAATCACAGCTCACTGCAACCTCAACCTCCCTGGGCTCAGGTGATCCTCCCACCTCAGCCTCCTCAGTAACTGGGACTATAGGTGCATGCCACCATGCCCAGCTAATTTTTGTATTTTATGCAGTGACAGGCTTTCGCCATGTTGCCCAGGCTGGTCTCAAGCTCCTAGGCTCAAACCATCACACCTTGTCCTCCAAAAGTGCTGGGATTACAGGGGTGAGCCACAATGCCCAGCTTATAGTAGCTATATTAATATCAGAATAAACTTAAAAGCAAAGAAAAAAAACAGTCTAGGTATCAAGAAAGATATTATATATAATAAAAGGGTTAATTTACCAAGAAGACAACAGAGTCTTGAAATACGTGAAGCAAAAACTGACAGAACTAAAAGAAAAAATACATTGATCTACAATTACAGTTGGAGATTTCAACTCTTCTCTCTCTCAGTAATCAGCAGAACTGATAGGCAGAAAACCAGCAAGGAGATAAAAGAACTGAACATCACCATCTGTCAACTGGATTTAATTGGCAGTTAAAAACCACTACATCCAGCCGGGCGCGGTGGCTCAAGCCTGTAATCCCAGCACTTTGGGAGGCCGAGACGGGCGGATCACGAGGTCAGGAGATCGAGACCATCCTGGCTAACACAATGAAACCCCGTCTCTACTAAAAATACAAAAAAATAAACCGGCCAGGGGGCCGGCACCTGTAGTCCCAGCTACTCGGGAGGCTGAGGCAGGAGAATGGCGGGAACCCGGGAGGCGGAGCTTGCAGTGAACCCAGATCGTGCCACTGCACTCCAGCCTGGGCGACAGAGCGAGACTCCGCCTCAAAAAAAATAAATAAATAAAATAAAAACCACTACATCCAATAACAGTAAGAAATACATTCTCTAAAAAAAACAGATACAACATTCACCGAAATAGCCACATCTTGGATCATAAAACAAAGCTTAACAAATTTAAATTGAAATAATTTTTAAATGTATGTTCTTGTACCACAATGGAATCAAATTAGAAATCAGCAACATAAAGATAACTGAAAAATCTCAAGCACTTGATAATTAAACAACACACTTCTCAATGAGCCCTAGATGAAGGAAGAAGTTTTAAAGGAAATTAGACAACTCTTTGAAATGAATGAAAATACAATGTTTCAACATTTCTGGAATGCAGCTAAAGCACTGCTTACAGAGAAAGCTTATAGACTTAAATCTATATCTCAGAAGAGAAGAAAGATCTCACATTCATAATCCCAACTTCTACTTTAACAAACTAGAAAAAGAAGGGCAAAACAAAAGGTAAAGGAAGAGAGGGAAGAAAATAATAATAATAAAAGAAAACAGAAAATTAAAAGCATAAAAATAACAGAGAAAACCAATAAAACCCAAAGGTAATTTTTTTAAAAAGAGCAATAAAACTGCTAAGTTTCTAATAAGAGTGACAAAAAAATACAGCTTATCAACATTAGAAAGAAAGTGGGAGTTCCACAACATACTCCACAGATACCAAAAGGATAATAAGGGAATACTGCAGGCACTTCCTTGCATATTCAAAGAGCAACTTGAAAATGAAATCCATCAAAAATTGTAAATTACCAAAACTCATCCAAACTGAAATTGGTAACCTGAGTAGTCCTATATCTACTAAGGAAATTAAATTATTATTTTAAATCCTCAAAAGGAAATTTCTACATCCAAAGGGTTTAAAGGTGTATTCTACTAAATGGAGATGAAATAATAACAATTGTATATGATATCTTCTCCAAAATAGAAGAGGAAAAGGTACATCCCAATTCTTTTCATGAGGCCAGCATTATCATGACATGAAAACCAGACAAAAACAGAGCGAAAAAGGAAACCAAGACCAAATATCCCCCAAATATATAGACAGAAAAATCTTCCAAGTAACAGTGAATTGAATCTAGCCATATGTAAAAAGAAAAATACACCATACTAATTGGTATTTATCCTATGAACACAAAACTGGTTTAATGTTTAAAAATCATACAGTGTAACCCATCAATTTAAGATTCTAAAGAAGAAAAGCCACATGATAATATCAACTGATGCAGAAAAATCATTTGATGAAATTCAAAATTCATACATGATAAAAACTCCCAGCCAATTAGGAATAGAAAGAAACTTCTCTGACATGTTAAAGAGCATCTAGGGAAATCCCATAGCCAACTTCATGTTTAATTGTTGAAAACTGGATGCTTTCTCTCTAAGATTAAGAAAAAAGTAACCATATCCATCCTCACCACTCCTATTCAACCTTTTACTGGAAGTTCAAAGTAGTGCAATAAAGGGAAAAATAAAGGCACATGAATTGAAAAGCAAATGCCATGATTGTCTATGCAGCAAATCACAAAGAATACAAATCACAAAGAATACAAATCACAAAGAATCACAAAGAATACACACACACACACACACACACACACACACATCCTAGAACTGATAAATGACTTTGAGCAAAGTTGCAAGATACAAGGTCTATACACACAAAAATCCATCATTTTTCCTCAAAATAGCAATGAAACGTTGAAAACCAAATGTATTAGTCCATTTTCACACTGCTATAAAGAACTACCTGAGACTGGGTCATTTATAATGAAAAGAGGCTTAATTGACTCACAGTTCTACATGACTAGGGAGGCCTTAGAAAACTTACAATCATGACAGAAGGTGAAGGGAGACAAGGGACGTCTTATATAGCAGCAGGCGAGAGAAAGCCAGGGGGTAACTGCCACACACAAAACCATTAGATCTCATGAGAACTCACTCACCATCATGGGAACAGCATGGGGGAAATTTACCCACATGATCCAATCACCTCCCACCAACTCCCTCCCCTGAAACATAAGAATTACAATTTGACATGAAATTTTGGGTGGGGACAAAGAGAAAAATGGTCTCACCAACATTTCAAAATTACTTACAATATTTAAAAACATTATATATAAAATATTTATGTATCTGTATGTGTATACATTTAACAAAATATGTACATTGTCTATATGCTGGACACCTTAAAATGCTAATGAAAGGGATAGAGAGACATACCATGATCATAGATTGGGAAGCTCAACCTAGTAAAGGTATGAATGTTCCCCAAATTGGTCTACGGATTTAATACAATTCTAATCAAAATCCCAGCAGAAATTTTTTGCTAGGTATTCTACCAAAACTGACTCTAGAATTTTTAAGAGAAGACAAAGGAAATAAATCAACTAAAATAATTTTGAAAAAGCACAATAAAGTTGGGAAAATCACATTATTCAATCTGAAAGCTTATGATAAAGCTACAGTATTCAAGACAAGCCACCTTTATTGGCAAAACGAGAAACATAAAGGTCCATGGAGCAGAATAGAGTCCGGAAATAGGCCCACAAAATATAACCAACTGATATTTTACAAAGAAGTGTATGCAATTCAATGGAGAAAGAATAATCTTATCACAAATGTTTACTGGATCAATTGGTGCCCTATCTCTCAACCATACTGCAACCTAAACTTCACACTTTATACAAACATTATTTCAAAATAAATCATCTATCTAAATACAAAAAATCATCTATCTAAACACTAAAACTCTTGGAAGAAAATATAGAAAAAATGTTCAGGACCTAGGGCTGGGTGAAATTTTTTTTAAATGACACTGAAAGCATTTTAAAAAATTGATAAATTGGACCTCATCAAAATTAAAAATTTTTGTGCTGCAAAAAGTACCGTTAAAGAGGATGATAAGACACCACAGACTAGGAGAAAATATTTGTAAATTTCATATCCAACAAAGGACATGTATTCAGTATATGTATAGAACTCTCAAAACAAACAACTCAATTTTAAAAAGGGCAAAAGATTTGAACAGACACTATCCAGACTCCATAAAAGTAATGATTGTCCTTACGGCAATATGAAATAAGCTCAGCTTTATCAACAGTTTGTTTTGAGGGTGTATTTACCGAGCCATTATTTTATATGCTAAACTGTAACTCCTCAACCAATTTTATCTGATGCTAATTTAATTTCAAATTAAATTAACTCTAAACCATTAAATTACTTTACAGTTAAAAGAGAAACTGTTAATATTTCCTATGTGTTAGTACTGGGTAGAAATGCATCTAAATAAACCTGTTATGTAAAAAATCACTATATATATAAATTTTAGATTTATTTTTCTGAATCTTCTATGTATAAAAACCTATAAAATAATTCTCAGTGATCATAATTATTCCAAATGTTTGTGGGGTTTTTATTGTTTGTTTTGTTTTTGTTTTTTAAAAATGGAGTCTCACTATATTGCCCAAGCTGGTCTCAAACTCCTGAGCAATCCTCCCACCTCAGCCTCCCAAAGTGCTGGGATTACAGGCATGAGCCACTGTGCCCAGGCTTCAAATGTTTGTTTTTAATAGGAGTGGTTCCATAGGTCATCCTTCTTATTTTCATTTTTGAGAAAATTATCCAGATTATTCTTCATTGACTATAAATTGGTTCTTTGTTTTAATATCACATTTTTACTCTCTAAGAAGAAATTGAGGTGATATAATTCAATACAGAAATTAGTCAATGAATATGGGAAGTGAAAGAATACTGTAGTCTGACAGATATAGATAGAAAAATACCAAGCATTTTATTTCAGTTATTATAATTAAAAGAAAGAGAGGAAATATAGTTGGTACAACACTAAGCTGGTTTTCTAAGACAGAGTTCATGCAAATACACGTTGTAACAAAAATCTTTTTTACCCCAACTCCTTTGCTCTATTCTTATGAAGAAAAAGCTAAGAATTAAATATTTTGTTTATATTTTTAAATATGAAAATAGAACTCTAGCAAAAACTAATATATAAAAATTCTACTATCAGTAAACACAATACAAAGCAATATCTGGGTTTTTACAGAAGATTGTTGTTTCTCTTTTTCCACAGGGAAACTGTATAAAAAGAAAGAAGCAAATACGTATTCGGTATAAACCTTCTCTTTTCCAGCATGTGGGTATACATTCGTCATTCCCTGGAAAAGAACGATATGAAAAAGTAAGATTTTGAAATGTAACTTTAGTAACATACGATATTTTATAAACTTATAAAATACTATTTAGAAAAAGAGTGGTGACATAAGAGAATATAAAATATGGTTGCTTAAGCAGAATTCATCTTATGGTAGAACTGTATGTTGTGAAGAACATTTGTAAATTAAGCAATCATCTTTTAAAGCCCCAAGTTATCTATCATGGTAAGAAGAATTCAGCCTATATAAACTATTTTGCCTTACTGTTCCCAGTCGTGCAATTCAAAGAAGACTAAAAAAGTGTTTTGAAAATTATAATAAAATTCACTATTTTAGTCTAAAATTCAAAATTATACTATAATATTTCAAAAATAAAATCCTTCTATTTAATTTAAATGTATCAGAATTTTTATTTCAGATCTCTGTTTGTTTTACCAGATGAAGAAAAATTTAGCATTGCTTGGTTTTTAGTCATTCTTAAAATTTTGCATCATTTTCAGATACAATATTATTGATAATTGACTCAGCCCCCTAGTGTAGTAGAAGAAACAAAGATTTCAAGGTCAAAGCACCTAGTTTTCAGTCCTGGTGAACTAGGGAGTACATATATGATACTGGGCAAGTTCTAACACTCCTCTGAGCTTTCTTCATCTATAAAAGCTTCAAAGAGTTTAAATGATCCTTAAGATTTCTTCCACCCTCGACACCTCTACCTTTAGTGTCTTTACACTATGAAAGAAATGCTTGCTTTAATCCTTTGACAACTGAATGAGAAATAGACATATACATCTTCCCATCGTTCATGACTCACCCTCTTTCTGCTTTTTCTGCTTTGTGTATTATAATGCATGATTTGGAACCATGCCTAGAACATAATGTGAAGTCAGTAAATGTTAGCTGTTGGCTATCAAGCAAGGTGGAATCCAACAAAGAAAATGTGCCAAACAAGACAAATACGTGCCTGGAATAATGAAAACGTAACTGTTGTGAATCTTTGTGCAAAAAATCACACCATCAGAATACATAGCTGTAGATATGATGCAGAAATAAATTGGTCTGTACCATTCTCTTTTTCGACGCTATTATAATGCAATTCTTTCATTATACTTTTCGGCCAGATATGATATTTTAACCTCACTTTTGTAAATTCATGGCATATTAAGGAAATGTAGACACAAACATTCATATTTTGATGTTATAATGCTGGCTTTTTTCCTTTTTTATACTTGATACCACACAAAATAGAAGTCAATAACAATTTAAAAATATGTCAAATGTGTTTATATTCAAATTATTTTTAAAATTTTTAACAGGATGTTTATTATTAGGAGTTTCATGCTTCTAAAGCTTCTTTAAAAAGTATCAAAATCATTCTTTGGAAATAATGGCATAATAAGGATTAGACTATTTCTCAAATTTCTTAAGAGACTACATCATATTTTATAATACTAATCCTTCAATAAAGTGGTAAGTATAAGAAAATTGATATAAATATATAGACATCAGATATTTATTAATTTTATTTTAAATTACATTCTATGAATGTTCAACTTTTATTACTGTGTTTCCCTTAGTATTCATTTCTTTAAGTCTTTTTAAAAAACTTTTAGATAAAATTTGTTTTTTAACCAGTTAAATTTTGTTTTACCCTTATGATAAAACTTGTTTTTTTGAGAAGTAGTCTCGCTCTGTCGCCCAGGCTGGAGTGCAGTGGTGCGATCTCGGCTCACTGCAAGCTGCGCCTCCCAGGTTCACGCCATTCTCCTGCCTCAGCCTCCAGAGTAGCTGGGACTACAGGTGCCCGCCACCACGCCCAGCTAATTTTTTGGTATTTTTAGTAGAGATGGGGTTTCACCATGTTAGCCAGGATGGTCTCTTACCTTGTGATCCGCCTGCCTCGGCCTTCCAAAGTGCTGGGATTACAGGAGTGAGCCACCGTGCCCAGCCATGATAAAACTTTTTAAATTGTAAGATAAATTTTCTACAGTTTTATTAAGCGGAAAAATAATTTTATTTATCTCTAGTCATCCAGCTTGTAGTTCAAAAAATAATAATTTAATAAAACAAAAATATGCCCTTTTAGTGATGAATTTTCTTAGTTTTTAAATTTTTTGAAATTTGCCTAGATTGTCAGTTTAAATGCTGTTTATCATTTCATATTCTAGGTCTATGATAAACATAAAAATTTCTTTTGGAAACAACTAACATATTTCCACATTGGTTAACAAAACCATACTTTCTGAAAATTCAAATAAAATACTTAAAAGAAAGATTTTTCTTAGTTGATAAGCTAATATTGTGTATTCTATAATTTTCTACTTCTCCATTGTATTCAAAAAGTCATTTTCCATTTATTACAGTGCACTGGGCATAGGGCCAATTGTTTAAATGTACTGCAATTAAGGTTGCCAGATAAAATACAGGACACCCAATTGACTTTGAATTTCAGTTAAATAACGATTTTTTTTTCATGTATGTCTCATTTGTTTTGTTGTTGTAGTAGTTGTTGCTAAATCTGACAAGCCTAGTTGGAGGTGATGAAGGGACAGGGAGTAGAAGGATACTGCCCATAAAAATGCTTTAACTGAAAAGAATACCACACACAGAGAAGAAAGGATCAGCACAAGAACTCCAGCAACTCAAATGATCAGAGTGTCTTCTGTCCTGCAAATAACCACACTGGTTCTCTAACAAAGGCTCTTAATCAGGCTGAGATGGCTGAAATGACAGAAATAAAATTCAGGATATGGATAGAAATTAAGATCTTCAAGATTCAGGAGAACGTTAATACTTGATCCAATGAATCTAAGAATCAAAATATAACAATACAAGAATCGACAGATACTTGATCCAATGAATCTAAGAATCAAAATATAACAATACAGGAACTGACAGATACTTGATCCAATGAATCTAAGAATCAAAACATAACAATACAGGAACTGGCAGATACTTGATCCAATGAATCTAAGAATCAAAATATAACAATACAGGAACTGACAGATAAAATAGCCAGTATAACAAATAATCTGACCTGATAGAGCTGAAAAACACTCTACAAGAATATCCTAATGCACTTGCAAGTATTAACAGTAGAATAGACCAAGTTGAGGAAAGAATCTCAGAGCTTGAAGCCTGCCTTCCTGAAATAAGATAGTCAAAATAAACAAAAAGAGTGAAAAAGAATAAACAAATCTCCCAGAAATATGAGATTACAGAAACAGGCCAAATCTATGAATCACTAGCATCACTGAATAAGACAGGGTTGGAAAGCTGACAACTTGGAAAATTTATTTCAGAATATTGCCAATGAAAGCTTCTCCACCCTTGCTAGAGAGGACAACATTCAAATTCAGGAAATGCAGAGAATCCCTGCAAGATACTAGAAGATCATCTGCAAGACACATAATTATCTGATTTACAGAGGTCAAAATGAAAGAAAGAATGTTAAAGGCAGCCAGAGAGAAAGGGCAGACAACCTGTAAAGGGAACCCCATTAGGCTAGCAGTAGACCTCTCAGTTGAAACCCTGCAAGCCAGAAGAGATTGGAGGCCTATATTCAGCATTCTAAAAGAAAAAAATCTTCAACCAAGAATTTCATATCCAGCCAAACTAAGCTTCCTAAGCAAAGGAGAAATAAGATCCTTTTCAGACAAGCAAATGCCGAGAGAATTCATTACCACCAGACCTGCCTTACAAAAGCTCCTGAAAGGAGCACTAAATATGGAAAGGAAGGACTATTACTGGCCAATGCAAAAACACATTTAAGTACACAGACCAGTGACATTATAAAGCAACCACACAAACAGGTTTGTGTAATAAGCAGCTAACAACACAATGACAAGCTCAAATGCACACATATTAATACTAATCTTGAATGTAAATAGGCTAAATGCCTCACTTAAAAGACAGAGTGGCAAGCTGGATAAAAAAGCAAGTCTTCAAGAGATTGGTATGCTGTCTTCAAGAAATCCATCTCACATGCAGTGACTCTTAAAAGCTCAAAATAAAGGGATGGAGACAAATCTACCAACAAATGGAAATCAGAAAAAAGGCAGGGATTGCAATCGTAATTTGAGACCAAACAGACTTTAAAACAACATCAAAGAAGACAAAGAAGGGATTACATAATGGTAAGGGGTTCAATTCAACAAGAAGAGCTAACTATCCTAAATATATATGCACCCAACTCAGGAGCACCCAGATTCATAAAGCAAGCTCTCAGATACTACAAAGAGATGTAGACTGCCACACATAATAGTGGGAGACTTTAATATCCCACTGACAGTATTACACAGATCATCATGGCAGAAAATTAACAAAAGATATTTAGGACCTAAACTCAACACTCGACCAAATGAACCTAACATACACCTACAGAACTCTCTGCCCCAAAACAACAGGATATACATTCTTCTCATAACCACATGGCACATACTCTAAAATTGACCACAAAATTGGACGTAAAACAATCCTCAGCAAATGCAAAACAAAACCTCAAAATCATACCAACCATGCTCTCAGACCAAGTACAATAAAAATAGAAATGAAAACTAAGAAAATTGCCCAAAACCAAACAATTACATGGAAATTAACCTACTTCTGAATGACTTTTGGGTAAATAATGAAAGCAGAAATTAAGTAGTTCTTTGAAACTAATGACGACAAAGGTAAACATTCCAGAATTTCTGGGACACAGCTAAGGCAGTGTTAAGAGGGAAATTTATAACACTATATACCCACATCAAAAAGCTAGAAAGATCTCAAATTAACAATCTAACATCACAGCTTAAAAAAAAAAAAAAAAAAAAAAAAAAAAAAAAAAAAAAAAACCTAGACAAGTCAGAGCAAACCAACTCCAAAGCTAGCAGAATACAAGAAGTAACCAAAATCAGAGCTGAACTGGAGACTGAGACATGAAAAACCATTCAAAAGATCAGTGAGTCCAGGAGTTGGTTCTTTGAAGAAATTAATAAGACATATGGACCACTAGCTTAATTATAATAATGAAGAAAAGAGAAAAGATTCAAATAAACACAATTAGAAATGACAGAGGAGACATTACCACTGACTCTATAGAAATACAAATAATCGTAAGAGACTACTATGAACACCTCTATGCACACAAACTAAAAAATCTAGAAGTGGATGAATTCCTGGACACATACACCCTCCCAAGACTGAACCAGGAAGAAAGTGAATCCCTGAATAGACCAATAACAAACTCCAAAACTGAATCAGTAATAAATAGCCCACTGAACCAAAAAAGCCCATACAGATTCACAGCCAAATTCTATTAGGTGTGCAAAGAAGACCTGGTACCATTCCGACAGAAACTATTCCAAAAAATTGAAAAGTAGGGACTCCTCCCTAAGTCATTCTGTGAGGCTAGCATCATCCTGATACTAAAACCTGGCAGAGACAAAACAAAAACAAAAAAAACTTCAGGCCCATATCCTCAATGAACATCAATGCAAAAATCCTCAACAAAAACCCAGCAAACCAAATCCAGCAGCACATCGAAAAGCTAACTCACCACAATCAAGTAAGCTTTATCCCTGGTATGCAAGATTGGTTCAATACACATAAATCAATAAATGTGATTTGTCACATAAACAAAACTAAAGACAAAAACCACATGATAGGCTTTCAGTGGTACTGGAACAAAAACAGACACATAAACCAATTAAACAAAATAGAGAGCCCAGAAATAATGCCACACATCTACATCATCTGATCTTTAACAAAGCTGACAAAAGCAAGCAATGGGGGAAAAGACTTCCTATTCAATAAATGGTGCTGGGATAACTGACTGGCCCACGCAGAAGATTGAAACTGGACCCCTTCCTTACACCATATATAAAAATCAACTCAAGTTGGATTAAAGCCTTAAATGTAAAACCTGAAACTATAAAAACCCTGAAAGATAATCTAGGAAATACCATTCTGGACACAGGAACTGATAAAGATCTTATGATGAAGATTCCAAAAAGAATTGCAGTAAAAACAAAAATTGACAAATCAGATCTAATTAAACTAAAGAGCTTCTATATAGCAAAACAAACTATCAACAGAGTAAACAGACAACCTACAGAATGGGAGAAAATATTTTTAAAAACTATGTATTTGATAAAGGTCTAATATCCAGGATCTGTAAAGAACTCAAAGTTACAAACAAAAAACAAACAACCCCATTAAAAAGTGGGTAAAAAACACAAACAGATGATTTTTAGAAGAAGACATACATGCAGCCAAGAAGCATATTAAAAAAAAATGCTCAGTATCACTAAGCATTAGAGAAATGCAAACCAAACCCAAACCACAGTGAGATACCATCTCACACCAGTCAGAATGGCTATCTTTAAAAAGTCAAAAAATAGGGTTGGGCACGGTGGCTTACGCCTGTAATCCCAGCACTTTGGGAGGCCGAGGTGGGCGAATCACCTGAGGTCAGGAGTTCAAGACCACCCTGACCAACATGGTGAAACCCCGTCTCTACTAAAAAAACTACAAACATTAGCTGGGTGTGGTGGCAGGTGCCTGTAATTCCAGCTACTCTGGAGGCCAAGGCAGGGGAATTGCTTGAACCTGGCAGGCAGAGGTTGCAGTGGGCCAAGATTGCACAATTGTACTCCAGCCTAGGCAAGCAGAACTCCATATCAATTAAAAAAAAAAAAAGGTAAAAAGTCAAAGATGCTGGTGAGGTTGCAGAGAAAAGAGAACACTTACACAGTGCAGAGTGTAAATTAGTTCAACCATCATGGAAAGCAGGGTGGCAATTCCTCAAAGAACTAAAAACAGAACTATCATTTGACCCAACAATCCCATTACTGGGTATATACCCAAAGGAATACAAATTGTTCTACCATAAACACACATGCGCACATATGTTCCTCTATTCACAATAACAAAGACACAGAATCAACCTAAATGCCCATCAGCGATAGAGTGGGTAAGGAAAATGTGGTACACATGCACCACAAAATACCGCATAGCCATAAAAAAGAATGAGATCATGTCCTTTGCAGGCACATGGATGCCACTAGAGGCCATTATTGTTAGTAAACTGACACAGGAAGAGAAATCCAAATACTGCATGTTCTCACCTATAAATAGGAGCTAAATTATGCGAATCACATGGACACAGAGAGGTGAACAACAGATACTGGGGCTTACTTGAGGGAGGATGGTAGGAAGAAGGAAAGGATCAGGAAAAATAACTATCAGGTACTATGCTTAGTACCTGGGTAGCAAAATAAGCTGTACACCAAACCCCCGTGACAAAAATTTACCTATATAACAAACCTACACATGTACCCCTGAGCCTAAAATAAAAGTTAAAAAAAAAAAATGTTTTAACTGAACTACTACTTAAGGTCATGCCCTTGACTTTTATTTTTATTTTATTTTTATTTCTTTATTTTTTTGAGATGGAGCCTTGCTCAGTTGCCCAGGCTGGAGTGTAGTGCTGTGATCTCACCTCATTGCAAGCTCCGTCTCCCGGGTTCACACCGTTCTCCTGTCTCAGCCTCCCGAGTAGCTGGGACTACAGGCGTCCGCCACCCCACCCGGCTAATTTTTTTTGTATTTTCAGTAGAGACAGGGTTACACCATGTTAGCCAGGGTGATCTCGGTCTCCTGACCTCGTGATCCACCCGCCTCGGCCTCCCAAAGTGCTGGGATTACAGGCGTGAGCCACCATGCCCGGCTGACCTTGACTTTTATTAAAGGATGATATGTTAATACTGCATGACATTTTTGCATTTTCTTCAAAACTGTTATTTAAAGTTTTATGATTCTCTTTTGTGTGAAAATACATGGAACAATTCTCTTTTAGAATTTGATGCTAGGAAAAGATATTTCTCAAAAAACTGTCATGATTTATTTGGTTTTGTGTGGGGTTTTTTCCCCTTTTAGTAACAAGAAATTCAAAACTCATTTCATATGATATGTAGTATCCATATAATCTTATATTAAAACCAGAATTTCTTCAGTCCTCATTTTATATTTAATTCTGGCTTTCTCTTATATATTATTATTAAAGGATTATTGTATTTTCACTTTAAATTACCCTAAATCTTTTCTATATTTTTATTTTATGTTATAAAAATCAAATAAATGAGTTAAACTATTTGTACATTACCTACAATGCTTTGTTGGCTGTAATGATAGTCTGACTATACAGATTTCCCTGGAATCCCACAGATGGAAATCTGTTTTCAATCATTTTAACAGTATGAGAGTATTAAAATTGGCATTGTCTAATATATCTTAAGAATCTTATCTTCTTCTAATATAAAGTTATCTTCCCTATATTAAACGGGTGGGTGGTGTCAAAGGGGATACAACAAGGAGATAATATGATTAAGAAATTGTGAAAATACTTTCATCTTTATGAATTAATATATTATTTCTATATGTTATATTTTTTATTTTTATTTCAGAAAATATGAAGATAAAGAAGCATAAGAAGAAACTCCATAGTACCTGGAACCTCAGATTACCTTGATTTCTAATGGCATGTTTCAGAAATTGTAGTAATAAAAATACATAATTATCTAGCAGATAAGTAAACAATCAATAAACTAGTAGACTTGAAAGTACTAAATGACTTCTTACGTCAAGAAAAAAATAGAACATTGATTTATATTGCTTTTACCCTATCGCAATTTAATTTAAAAATACTAAAGGCAGGGGAGATTTTTTTTTTAAATTAAGAACCATACTTTATTGACTCCAATAGTGAGACCATCACATAATTTCAATAAACAGTTAAAAGTTCAAAAGCTTGCTATTGTCGTGGAGAAGTTTTGGGTGAACTGGTATATGCTGTTACCCGTTTTGTTAAGACACAAAGAAAATAAAGAAATAGCACAAATTTAAACAAGCCTGGATCTGACAATGCCACAATGTCTTATCTTTTAATAAATGCATTTAAAACTACACACTTATCCCTATGTGCCATTTGAACTGATTATCAAACATCTTGATACATATGTATTTTGATAGTCATTTAGTTCTAAAGATTTCATAGTTTCTCTCATTATTGCCTTCTTAACACACAGATTATTTGGGAGTTTTTTTCCCAAATATATTGGTTTCTCCATCTTTTATTGTTAATTTCTAAATTACTTGCATAGTGGTTATAGAACTTTACCTATGTGATAAAATTTTGAGAAATGTTGTGAATCCTTATGTTCCACATGACTTTGGAAAGAATGTATAGTTTCTGTATACTCCCTTTTAAACATGTTATATTCATTTGTTTTTAAAAGTGTTGGTTTTGTGCTTTAAAAATATCTTTTAAAAATATTCCTATCTATTGAGTGCAAGATTCTCTTATATCAGGTTTTTTAATTTGGTCGTTGAACTCTTTTCACTCCTTACTAATTTATACATGGTTGATCCATCAGTTTCTTACAGGGGCCCACTAAAATCTATTTTTCTTCTTGATGTTATTTTATAAGATATTATTTATTTTGAGCAATAATAAGCGATATTTGTTATCCTTTAATCAAATATTGTGAAATTCTTCATTTCACATTGTTGCCTTATTCTTGAGTGCCAAGATCTCACACATTCGCCTCGGTGTGAACTGTATCAGATACCAATTTATAAAGAGAATATGAAAGATGAACAACTTCTGTGTCTCCATTTCATTCTCACTTTTGAGAAGAAAATAAGATATTGTACGTATGTTACAAAGATTTTAAATTTGACTTAAATTTTGAACTTTGGAAATTAAATCTGCCAGAGCATAGTCCCAGATAATATGAAGAATTGAAACAAAGTCCCAGAATAGTATTTCTTGAAAAGAGCAACATCCCTTGAAAAGGTGCTTACTTGGACTTCTTATCCTGTTGAAGACTAGAACAAAATACCTAAACGATTGGCACCATAAGCTAGGATAAATATATAAAAAGCCTTTCCAACATTCTGCTGAATGTCAAGAGAAAGCTGAGATGATTCCAAGGGAATGCTGCTGCAGTGCTCAGAGGCATTTGAACCCTGACTGAGATACAGCGAGAGTGAAAGATGCTAGAAGAAACAAGGGAGAAGAAAGTTAAAGACAGCCTTAAAAGTCCAAACCAATTACCACAGTCCCTGAAGAAATTATTCATGATTAAGAGTATTTGGGTGGTCAGCACAAAGTATTTCTAGAAAATATTTCTAATGTAGCCAGAAGAGATGCCCCCTAACTTCCATCCTCACCCCTGCTGTTTGCAAATGTGGATGTTTGGAGGATATCATTTACCACCCATGGTCATTAGTCTGAGATACATGAGGAAGGGGAGATTTGGAGAACCCCAGACACGTAATATAGAGTAGAGCAGGGCAAATAGTGCTTCACTGGTTGGTTTGAGCATTTGTTTTATAGCATTTATGCTGATTTTGCTTCATTAAAATCACTCTTCTTCAAACCTACATGAAGACAAATGATGATGTATAATAGATAAGTTTTAGAAACCAGATTCTCCTGAAATCTTTTTTCATAAAACAACTTTTGAAGCAAATAGAAGCTCTGCAAACATTAGAGATATAAGTAAAATTATCTCTATTGCCAAAATTTCTCTCAAGTATTGAGATAAAAAAGCCAAGAACATCTGTATTATTTGTTATTGACTATAGAGTAAATAGCAATGTACAAATATTACTACTAATAATTAGTAATTAATAGAAATAGTCAATGTGGCTCCACTCTTGGGTAGAGGAGAAAGAGATACCCTCTACTAACATAGGTGTGTAAAAATGTCTCAGAGTTAATTGTGTATTCTTGCATAGAACTTTCACCCTGTGGTAGGATTATGACAATTGTGAACAAATTTACCAAGATAAATCTGGGCAGGCATTCCCATGGGAACACATCTCTTTATGTTTCCTTTTTTAAAAAATAGCCTTGGTTTACGTTTTTAGACACTGCGTTCATTTTAGTGGTAGCTCAGGTGATGAATTATGAGAAAATTTATATAAACTGACAGATTTTTGTTGTGCTGATATTAGTCTTCTTTCTATAAGTCCAGATAAAATGTATAATTTCTGAGAAAACAGTTTACCAAAATTAATGCCAGAAGAGGCAGAAAACTTAAACTAACCAATTTTCATAGAAGAAATAGAGAAAATTATCGAGAAAAAACAAATGATCACAAAGAGACACCAGATCCAGATGACTGCACAGGGAAATTCAACCCAACTTTTAAAGACCAAATAGTCCCAATATTTTTAAATTGTTTCAGAGCATGGCAAATAAGGAAAATTCTCAAATTATTTTAATGATGTAAATATAACATCAGTACCTAATCATAGTAATGGTAGCACAAAAAAAGAAAAGTAGAGAGCAACATCATTTATGACAACTGATGCAAAAATCCAAAATACGATTTAGAAATAGATTCCCTAGCAACACTTAAAAAAAAAAAAAAAAAAAACACCACACCATGACTTGATATTTATACGAAGAATGCAAGAACCTGTTAGGACTCTGTTAGGAAACCCACTATTAGAGTGTACAATACTAATAGGACTAAGAAGAAAAATCACATGGTTACCTCCACAGATGTTTAAAAAGCCTTTGAAAAAGTTCAACTTATTTCCTATAAAAAAGTAAAGAAAATTGCAATGAATTGGTTCTTAACATGTGGAAATAAACACTCTCATACACTGCTTGTGGGAATAAAAAAATATACAATTCCATGTATCTACAAAACATCCCAGCCATTCCACTCCTAGTTATTCAAGAGACTTAAATAACTCTGTATTAGGCCTTTTTTGTATTACTATAAAGCAATATCTGAGACTGGGTAATTTATAAATAAAATAGGTTTAATTGACTCATGGTTCTGCAGGCTGTATAAACATGGCACCAACATCTGCTCAGCTTCTGATGAGGGCCTCAGAAAGTTCACAATCATAGCAGAAGGTGAAGGGGAGCCAGCATGTCACATGGTGAGAGCAAGAGCAAGAGAGTGAGAATGGGGAGGTCCCAGACTCTTAAATAACCATAACTCACATGCACTAACTGAGAACTCACTTATCACAAAGGAGATAGTGCTAAACCATTCGTCAGGGATCTGCCACCATGATCCAGTCACCTCCCACTCGGCCCCACCTCCAACACTGGAATCACATCTCAACATGAAATATGGAGAGGACACACATTTCAGCCATATCAGCATCTTTATAACAGCCCAAAACTAAAAACAATCCAAATGTCTATTAAGAGATGGATGTATAAACAGTTTCGTATCTGTATGGTGGAATACCACCGAACAATAAAAAGGAGCAAACTATTGATGCACACAAACACATTCATGGATCTCAGAATCATTATGCTGACTGAAAGAAGCCAGACAAAACAGAGTACATCTATATAGTTTCATCTATATATAATTCTACAAATGGCAATCTAATCAATAATGACAGCAAACAAATCTGTGATTGCTTAGGGATAGGCAAGGAAAATTTGGGGGTGATTAATATGTTCATTATTTTTGTAGTGTTTCTTGGGGGTATATATGTCAAAAGTCATCAAATTGCATGCCACTCAATATGTCACATTGCAACTAAATATTTTCCTGAAATTTAGGGTTAATCCTGTTACTCTGCTGTTTAAAATAATCTGATGGTTCTATCTGAAGAATACAGTTTAATTATCTGCCTTGACATTCAAGCTCCTCAATAAACTGGCCCCAATGTACTATTCCAGAATCATTTTCTGACATTCATTTTCATGCCCTCTACGTCTAACTACAATGGACTAGTTTCCATTCTCTGGATACTTCGTGCTGTGACCATGATAGCCAGAATGTCCATTTCCTGTGCCTTTGTCACACAGTTCTAATGGCACTTCTTTGATGAAGTTTTCTTCATTTAGGAAGAATGAGTAACAACATACTTTATGCTCCCATAACATTTTGTCTATGCTACTATTATATAATTTCTCATATATTATAGATATTTGGTTATTTGTCTATTTCCCTAACTACATTATTAGCTATTTGAAAGCAGGAGCCATGTGTTTGTCAGTCAAAATTTTTGCACACTGCCTAGGACACAGAAGATGCTCAATAAATGTTTGTTAATACTTCTAGTAAGAAGTGAATAAAAGTACATGAGCCTTCCACTCTGAATTCTTATTAATATATTCATTAAAATAGGTAAATAAGTACCCCCTGAAACAACATTCCAAATTGAGAATAAGAATTAAACATATATCAGAAACTTGGAGTTTTACAAATTTTCACATCAATGGGTCAGGTTAATGATCTGTTTAGCTCACTTTCTGAGCTAAAACGCCAAGACTAGAAGCAAGAGTAGGACTTGGCTGATTTAATGATAGCCGCAAACAAGGAAGGTCAGGAGCGGAAGCAAGCAGAAAGGAAAGCAAGGTCCCAATGTAAAAGGCAAAAATGTCCTCATGAAAGCTTCTTACGGAAAAGCTTTTCTTTGATGCTTTCTTTTACCTTTGTGTGCCAATTACATTAGAATCTAGTGGTATAGGAAAAAGCCTGTACCTGATCTTC